TCGACCAGAACTGATTGAAGAAAAACTGTTTGTGGGTATTTTTATACCATGTAAAGGTTGAAAACGGGTTGAATGAATGCCTGGTACAGGCAGAACAAGGCAACTCGGGCCTCATGAATTATATAAATTCATAGTCAACATCAAACTTCTATATTCGACTTAGCCATATTCGTCCACATTTCTGATCATGTCGGTCTTCGAGACTAGACTCTTTTTATTTAGAATGTATGGACAGAAATTTGAATGCATGTTACGACAGCATGCAGTTGGGTACAGGGTATCTTCAATCCGAGCACTTTAGATTAGAGCACTTCGACTTGTTCGTCTTACAATTAGGCCAAATGCTTGTGGAAATATGTTTTTATTACGTTATATTTACAAACAGAGATTGTGATATGTACAAGGCAGTCTTGGCTGACGATTGAGTCCATTTGCGCTCAGTGTCTGCACGACAGGCCCGCAATGCCTTTGGCCAAACGCACTTTTCCTCCCTTTTTATTTAGCCCAGCCCTGTCAGAGGGTATCGAAAGGGTACTGACGGATCAGACTACAGCTGAGGTGAGGACAATATTTCGATACTTTAAAGATGTATATAAGTTTTGCAATACTCATAAAACCTAATAGACATCGATTCATAAAAGTTCTTTAGTAACATACAATTGGATTTAAGAATATAAACATATCGAAAATCTTAGCAAAGAGTATTCAATATTCGACGTGCAAACTCAATAGCTCTTTCTTGTTATTAATAATTTTGTTTTACGTTCTTACAATCGCGTGGGCGACGCAACGTTTGGTGAAGTTAATGTATTATTTTAATGTTATTTCCGGAAAGTGCGTGATTTGTACACATTGAAAACATCAAGTAAAAAGGTAAAGAGTACTAAGCCCAATTGTAATTATTAAAATTAAGCGCCAAAAAATCCAAAACTCGAATATAATGGGACTATTTAGTTTGTAATTTTTTACTGTTGTATAGTAAATATATTCATCAGCGCAATCAACAGCCTTTCCGTCTGTAATATGCATTCAAGACTAAAATATATAAATATGAGGAGCCAACCCACACTTGAAGCCAAGGTATTGGCTTTGATTTGGGAAGCGAACCGCTAAGGCTTATTCAATTTAGTCCTCAATCACGCCCATTGCACCCACTAAACCACACCTTGAGCCTGCTGAATGTGAGAAGCGCTTAATAGACAGGAGCTTACGCTCTCAAAGCACATGGAAGTTGCAATATTTGTTGTAAGCACACATAATAATCCACATACCTTGCGCAGGGTCTACATTGTGGCTTCTCGAAGGAGGCTCTGCGAATAAGCCAATACTGAGTATGTCAGAAAATGCCCACATTACGGCGATTGCGGGTCACACACAAACACACAAACACACATATGCTTCTGGCCACATACTTCGTACAAGGAACAAATGCACTGTGAGTGAGCACATGTGAGCAGGAGTGCACCAAAAAGCCACTAAAAAGTCCAATGACACGAGCCCACATTTTATTGCATACTTTCGAGCCCTTTCCCCAGACCCTGTCTGAAATATTGTAAATAAATGCGATAGAAAAAATGGTGCAAAGGGTGTGGTCAAAAGACTGCATCGGCTACAGCGACAGCGTCAGCAACGACAACGAGAACGACGACAATGGGGCTGTTTTAATGTGACCATTAAACAATAGCAATAAGGACAAAGGATGCACACACACACACAATGACAACAACTAGCTGCAGAGCTGCAGTAAACGCTCGAAAAGCCCAATGCTTACCCAGCGAGCAATTTTAAGAAGATTTATAAAACGACACTGCACGGGGAAGCCGTGAAATCCAATCTTTGGATTTCATACGAAACTGTTAAGCTGTATTTAAAGAACGAAAAGCATTTCCGCAATCCGATTGACTTGGCTCGAATGCTAAGCTAATCATGTGCTTACAGCTTAAGCGGCATAAATGGCTTGTTGGGTTGTTGCAGCCAGTTCATAAAAGTAGTTCTTCTCTTGGCAAACTTTCGCGCGTGATAAGTTTTCAATACAAAGTAAAAGTATGATGTCCGTCACGTTACTGAAAGAAAACGTTGAAGAATGCAACTGCGGCAAGAGAGGCTCAGAGACACAGAGACTGTCACGATGGCATTGGTGGAACGTGGAACTGGTATATGCAACTGAATGAACCACAACAAAGGCGAACTACTTACTAGGGCACTCGCACTACGAAAATGTCAATAATGAGTCCGAGTCCGAGCCCGAGCTCGCCCCTGGGCACGGCAGCTGCCCCTACTAACAATCTGGATGCTGTTGCATTTACTCTCAGATATCGGTCGGTCGAGCCGCAAGCAATGCGAGCAAAGAACAAAATCCAATGGATACGAGAACCCACATCAGTTGGGGCTGACATGGCATCTGCTTTGTCCAAATGAATGAAACGCATGACAAAATGACAAAAAAAAAAGAAAAAAAAAGTTGGATTGAATGTGGGTGGCATAAAAACGACCACAAGCTATTTCTCGGTCAACTACGTACATCACTTCTGCCGAAGGCTTAAGTACTCCGCAAAAATACACATACCAATGCACACACACACACACGTATGTCTCTTTGTAAGTGTGTATGTAGTCCGGGTAAAGTCAGCAGAGTCGTTCGCATTGTCTGCCAACACATAATTTGGTCGATGTCATGCCGGCCGGCAAAAGGAAAGTCGTGTCCTCAAATGTGAATGAGTTCGGGCTGTCGACGGTTGTTGGCAAAAGTTTCAATTGTTCCCGGCCGAGGATGTGTGAATGTGATTGTTTAAGTTTTTCCCATGCTTCTGTTCCTGTTGCATGTGGGTACAATTAATTGTTATTGCGTCTCTTGCAAATGATGATGATAATGATGATTCATGTTAAGTAATCCGCAATGCAATGTCGGGGCCACTAGGGACCACGTGAACGTTCGCATAACCAGACTAACTAGTTAATCAAAGCTCGAAATGGGTATGAACTAGAAGCAGGGTGTAAAGTTAAGACTACAGTTCGAACCAACTCCCTGCCTTAATGTTTGGTTCACACAATATAATATAAAGGGTACTACCACTACTAATATAATTATCATAATTCCCACGTCTTAGGTAAAATTTTACAGAGATATTTAAAAATATGTTTAAAGTCCATCGAATTAAGAGCCAAAAGTTGGAATCAATCAAATGCCTGCATTGAGCTCGGCGATAAAAAGAGCTAAAAACTTTATATTATGGAAAAGCACGAAAGAAAAATGCTTGGTTCAGGTTTCAGATCAGATGTTGTTGAACAACTGGGTTTGCTTAAAATTAAAAATAATAGTGCAAAACAAATTTGAATTCCGGGCTGAAGCGGTTTGCAGTCTCGAAGCCAAGTCCTCACAATTAGCTAAATAGTATATATTAAAAGGCACTTTTGCTTTTTGGATGCTTTTATCGTCATCATTTCGCAAACAAATAAATATATTTGTAATTATATTTTATTTACATTTGTTATTCCCTCTGTAGAATTCACAACTTTAATGGGCAACTCTCAACGGCTTTTGCCAGGCAGAGGAACTGAACTATTTTGAATGCTCTTTCGAGCCGCATTTCTATTAGGGATGCGCGGGTGAGAGGGAATCTAGTTTCTGACTTTTTAATTCTTTCATTTGGCGACTCCTTTTAATTTGATTGCAATTTGCGCATGCATTTGGTGGGCAGCTGTTGTCGGTGCCACAGGCAGTCAAAGAGTTGGCTTCAGATACAACAACAAACAATAAAACCAGCTACACAAAACACAAACAACGCCTGCCGTTTTTCCATAGTCTACTTTTGGGCGCATTAGTTTCGCATCACTTGCCAAAAATTGTGTGGCTCGAATCCGGCGCTTTTACTTTGCCAGCGGTTTGTGGGAATGGCGTTTGCATTAATGTGTATGTGTCGGGAGTATTGGCAAAAGAGAAAGGGAGTCGAATGCTTTTTCCTGTAGCTTCAATTATTTTGCTGACTGCAGTTGGCCAATTACAAATTACAGACTTTGCCACCCTTTTTGGTCGTTTTGCCGACTTTTCATTAGGTCCAGGCTTGAGGAAATTTATTGGTAAATCAATTATATGGCTTTCAATTGTATGTTCGCCACTTTTAATTTATTTGATATATTTAATTTAACGCAGCTCGTTTTCATTAATGGTAACCACAACTTTTCCCCCAAATACTTTAAGAATGTGAATGCTGCCTTGTCTTTGTAACTTTTGCTTTTATTGCGAGCCATCATTTCGGAGCCACGGCAAATGTAATTAGCTCTAAGTGTATCGTCTGCGGCGCGGCTGTTGTTTGCCTCATTTTCGTAATTTGTTGTTAATTACTTTTTGCAGTGCGGATTTTTATTGAAAATGCCGCTGGATTGGTCATCGGGCGTAACGTATCGAATCGGTGCGGCGCCAGTTTAATTGAAATCAGCAACGATTTAATCGTAAATTGGGATTAAACTACCTGCATAACGGTTTAAAATGCGTTTAACTCATTAAGGATCCTGATTACTGTCAGTTTTGCCATTATTTGTTTGTGCAATGTACTCATAAAACCACAAAATGAATAACAATAAAGAGAAGCTATCTTTGACACACCAAAGATTAAATACCCTTCTAGGTAATTAGTATAAAAGAGGTTCCAGCAAACGTTTCGTGAGAATAGATTGAAAACTTGGACTAAGTTGCATAGAAAATACAGAGTCGGACTTACCTATATCGACGCGGCTATCTATTCGCGAGTTGAAATGTGCTTAATTTCCTATTTGTCTAAATACAGTCGAGCCTAACATCGGAGCACTATTCCTTATAGTTCCAACAACAACAAAAATTGAAGAGAAATCAAAGCTTTACATAAACATATCTACTTTGGCAGGGGTATAAAATCTTCGGCCCTTCAAAGAGGACAGTTCATTTTTGGTTTATTTTCACAATTACAATAACCTTTTATATCGATTCATGTACGAAATTAGCGCCTCGATTACAGGCCCCTATCGGAGCTGTTACGCCCGATCACAGCAGGCAACATATCAAATATATTCCTCTTTCAAATAAACAAACCACACGTAAGAAATTTCCAGTAGCAACCCATTATAAGTTGTCCTAAAAACAATCCTCTGAACAGATTGAATATGGCCAGCCCAAGTCAACCTGGTTGCTCAAAGAGGCCCTCCCCAGTTCATGTCATCGTGGAGCGAACGTGTAGGAGTATTACGCAAATAATCAACAAGTATAAACAAAAAATATATTTCGAAACGCGCCAGGAGCTAGCCAAATCAAAATGCCGAGACTGTGGCCATTTGATTGGACGCTGCAACTTTGATCTAATGAATAAGGGACGACGGTGCGTATGCGCAACAATGTAAATAATTCTATTGGACCCTAACACTGATTGCCTGCTTAGTTTTAATTTTATGAGATGCGAAGAAATAGGCGCCGGCGTTTTTATTGTTACAATGTCGATCTTGCTTGGACTGGGCCTCTTCTTCATACGACGATACAATCAGACTTTTATCTATGGATCTGGCGGCTGTAAGGCGACCATTTTTTGGACCAACAACGATTGCCAGATATTAGCTTAGGCAACGTTATTCCCGAGGTAAATCCTGTCTTATCGATCTTTAAGATTTCAGGAGCTTGCATATTTAGGTTTATGTGAAGTTAATAAATACAGAACTGAGACTAGGATAATATGTAGTTGGACATCTTGGCCACACTCTTTTTACAGGTACGGGATATCAGCTAGTCGGGCCACTTCGACTTTGAGCACCTTTTGAAGCTACTTCCGCACAGTTTGCACTCATTTTGACGACCACAGTGCACTAAACACACCTAATTAGGCCGCAGGCAATTTAGCGGCCCCTTTTTGGGCGCTGTCAATCATCAAGCCGTTTAAATAATAAATCACTTTAAAATTAGTTTGCCAAGTTGAGCAAGTTGAGCGTCGACAAATTAGTAAAAGTTAATTAAAACTATTTAAATTGCAAATTATTGTAAAGTTTTTAGCACACACACACACACTATATATACATATATATATATAAATAAATGCCAACGTGAACACGCAGACAAAAAGCAGTAGATGTAAAGCATTGGAAAATGGCGCACATATACTAAAGACCGCATCGTTGGAAAAACCTTAGGGGAGCTGCCCCTGCCCCGCCCATGCCAGCGACTTCCGCAGGTATTCGCACACACACATACATATATATACGCCCATTGCTTTTCCTTTTCACAGCATGTTTAAATGGGGGAAATTAAAAAAAAAAAAAGAGCGCGCCTCTGCTGCGAAATATGTACAAAAAATGTCAAGTTGTGTGCGCAACTTGGCTGAGCTGGCAGGCAGTCTGTTGACAGTCAGCCGCCTCTGCGAGGGCGTCGGGGCGTGGCGCGTGGCGCAACAATTTGCATATAAAAAGGGTTGTTAGACTTTAAACAGCGGCCTGTCCTATTATCTGCATTAGGGTAGATATGGCGCGCATTAAGATAAGGTACTTACAGCAACGTTTACTACGGTATTAGGATGGGTACGTCACCTACGCAAAGTTAATTTATGCGGGCGTGGCTCCGACTTATACATATGCGTATGTCTGCACACGAAGCATGTGGAAATTTTAATTAAAGCGAAATTGCCCAAGAACATTAACAAGAAGTTGAAGGAAACCAAATTTGGTACTCGTCTCGCTTGTGCTTCACCTCACAGCATGAGGCAATGACATTCGCCAAGTAGTTGACTTCTGTACTGACCAAAAACTTAGTTCGTCCAATTAAGATTCTCTGCCTAATCGAAACGGATTGTTCTATTCAGTTTGGTCCAGGCAGCTAGCTGCTACAGGTCGAATATCAAGTTCTAGTATCTATTGTTATTCAAGCTATCTCAACTAGACTACATAAAATATGACTCACAGCTGATTAATATATGGAAGGGTATTTATTCTTAGCTGTAACGAATTTTCTTTTATTTTTTGTTTAAGCTGCGATTAGGTGTTTTTCCAGTCGAAGTCTTTCGGCTAGGACTAGACCTTGGTTTTTGTGAATCCTACGCCCTTTGGTTGTGGTTTATTGTCTGTTATTGAAAAAAATATTTCCGAGCATTTAAAATAAATATGTACTTCTTCATATTGTCTTTTAACTTTATCCAGCTGGCAGAGATACATAGGTTTATTAAGTTCCTACAGGACAAGTTGGTCTCAAACTTTATCTTGTTTAAAAATAAAATATATAGATACCAGCCGGACATCTAATATGTATATGTCCTTAAGGGGTTTATTTGACATTTAAGTAGCCCCCTGTTTACTGTTGTTATATTTACCGTGTCATGTTTTAATGTAAATACCGGCAACAAGCAGCCAGCAGCAAACAGAAGTTAAGAGAGCAGTCAGACTGCAAAATCAGCTTGTGCAACCTTTAAGCGATGCTGCATTAACCAGCGAGAGATATGGGAGCTACAAAAATATTCCAATTAAAATACCTGCTCCATTTCAGTGGCTGACTGACTGACTTCTATGCAGGCAGTGCTTGGATGGAATAACGCTGAGCGCAGCTATGTGGCAGACGGATGCTGGGCTGCCTGCCTGGCCGCCTGGCTGCCTGCCAAGCTCAAAATTGAGTACCGACTCGGGCCTGCTGAATATTTACGCAGGTGCCGTGGTCCTGTTTCTGATAGTGCTGCTGCTGCTGCTGCTGTTATTAACCCCTTGCATACTGATTTCACACAGATTCGACATTAAAGCGCCAGGAACGACGACCAAGTACTTGTCATCATTTATATCTGAGTATTTGTCTTAGTTCAACATCCCATTTGCTAAAAGGATGCGTTTTTTGTGTATGTGTATCGGAATATTGTGCCTGCCATTTTCCGCACTCATACACAGCGCGATATACAAAATTAATGAGCACTTCAGCGCACCCACAGCACATTTATTTAGTGGCTCATGTGTGCTGATGACGCTTTCGGATTCCGACTAACAACCAGCTGTGATATATGTTGAGTTGTGAAATGATGACTTATAGGGGCTTAAAAAAAACATAGACAAATTCAATTCACCCTCAGGGTAATTTAAATATACCCGTGGTACCTTGACACCCATCCAACATAGCTTCCGACTTTACTTTCGTGTTGTGTACCTTAAATACTTGTCAATTCTTGTGTTATGAAGATCTTATTAAATAAGCTTGAAGCCGACAACTGAACCTTGGCACAGTCTTGATTCTTATTTTCCAGCGAGAAGTTTGAAACATCTCACAAGTAAATATTCTTAAAGGTCTATGAAAATAAGTTTGACGCTGATCAATGGTAATTGAAGGCCTTTTAAAGCTACAATTTGAAGCGATTTTGCCACCCTTGTGGGTGAAGTTTTCCTTACCATCTCAGTCAGTAACTCAGCCACATTTTTGAATATATATATATATATATATATATATATATATATATATATATATATATATATATATATATATATGCATAGAATTAAAGATAAGCGCTAACTCCGTATGGGATATTTGTAAAGAAACCTTCCAATAGTTGATATATTGTTTATAATAATATATTATAATTAAAAACGATTAGTTTCCTACTAATGCATGTAACAAGCTGAAGGATCCCATAAGGTACATATATTTTTGATCATCATCAACAGCCGAGTTGGTCTATCTGTCAATCTGACCATCTGTGCATTCATGTGATTAAATGCAATGATTTTAAAGACTTCTATCTATTAACTATTTAGATCTTCCTTTCGCAAGTGCAGCTAAAATTTGCTTTAAATATTTGCCCTGATTTGGTAAATATCCATTTACAGCTTGGGGACAGTAAATTTGCTATATAGACTTCATGGGTGATCTTTAAAGATCCTCGCTCAAATATTGAGTAACAAAAATTGACGCTATACTTAACCAACCCAGGTGTATCAGCTCGTCTGTTAGGCCTGGCTAAGAATCCATATGTGCACATAGGAATCACGAAGAATAAACAATTTTTTGTTGTTGAATGTCATGTTTTCTTCACCCTGGCGCTGTCAAATTATGTGAGTGACTTTTTGGCATTGCTGACAATTGGCTCGACAGGCGACAGGACAAAGGCCAAAGGCAACAGGCGAGCAGGAAATTATTGCGAAAGCCACCAGGAAAACACACAAAACAAACAGGCAAAAAGTTAATTGTATGAAATCAACACACTTAAAGTCAACAACACCAACAAATGCCAGTAAATCGGCTAAGCATGTTGACAACAGGCAATCCAATATTAGGGGCAGAAACAAACCAAAGCCCCAGCCACAGCCCCAGCCACAGCCCCAGCCACAGCCCTTGCTCAGCCTCAGCCTCAGTCTCAGTCCGAGTCCTAGTCACAAACCTAGTCCCGAGCCAAGGTACAACTGTTGGCAATGATACCGAACCGGGCTAAGGCAGACAGTCAAGCTGAAGTACATCCCACAGTCAGGCGTTTAACACCCAGCAAGGACAACAAAAAAGCATAGCTAACGGCAGCTTATAAGCCGCAGCATCAGTCGTGGCAACACGCTAACAAGCAGGAGATCTGCTTGGCAAAGGACTAAAAATGATGAGGCAGCTAAGGCTTCAGTGCAAGTGAAATAGATGAAAATGCTTCAGGTGCAGGTGTAGGTGCAGGTGTAGGTGAGCTAAATGCTTACAAGTGCACCAGGGGCGTGTATTCACGATTCCGCCACTTCAACTTAAGTAGTAGCAGAAGGGTGGAGGTAGTTGAGAGATATTCTCCCACAAAATAGCCAGGGGAGAGGGGCAAAGTCACAGGCATTCCTTGGCAGTGGCTTGCTTGCACTGGCAAACGAGGAAAGTCGTACGAAAATACTTGAGAAAATCGTGTTAAATCGCGCTCAAGTGTTAATGTAATAAGCACTTTTAATAAATAAAGGTGAACTTTTAAGCGAATGAAGGCTTAATACGCTGTTCACACACACAAACACACACACACACACACTCTTCGCACAACAGTTAACACACAAGATTTGTATAAAGGTATTTATAAATGTCATAAGGAATATCACGAAAATAGGTTCTGAATTGGAAGCGATGCCACGCCTTAAGGTGAAGTCGGGTAATGAACCTTGCTATCCCCATCCATTAATCCAGATTTGTTTTGAGCCTAAGCTCACCTTATTTTTCTTAAATTTAAATTATTTCAACATAAATCAGGCTCAGAGATTTGAAAATGAGTTTAAGCTAATTGGAGTAAATTGAGTAAAATTAAGTAAACACATATCTAGAATATGTGTCTACCGGAAGAACTAATTTCTGGGAAAACGGCTTTTTTATGAAATTTCTTATGTTTTAAATGTGACATCCAAATATGTGTAATATGTTAGCACAGAAAGTATAGAAGTTACGACTAACTTTTGACTGCGTGTTCAACTAAATGCCATGCTAACTTTTACTTTTTGGGTAATCCCCTTTTTTTCCCCTAAAATAGAAGTGAGAGTTGTAGCCTTGCACTGTGGTCTATGCCCACATGGGAGCCTCGTACTGGATATCATTGAGGCATACTTTACTTGTTTCTTATTAATTATTAATTTCAATAATGCACAAATTAATATACTCTTCTCCGACACAACGTCTATCCTTGCTGTTGTATTATTATGCAGCAAATATTATAATTGCCGAACATACATAATTAGTGTTAATTACAGAGTTAATGCAGTCGCTATTGTGTTCGTAAT